TGGAGGGAAGGAAGAGGGGGGAAGGAGTGGTAAATGGCGGAAAGGGAAGGAGTGAGTGGAGGGAGGGAGGCGGGGTAAATGAAGGGGAGGGTGAATGGAGGGATGGGGGAAGGGGCACAAAGTGTAAGTGGCAGCAACAGTGGAGAGGGACTTTGCACACAAGATGGATGAGGCGATGGGGATTGGGGAGGGGGGTTGCATGAACATACTGACCCACATAACAAAGTATGCCATTAACTGTAGAGGTGCCGATCAAAATTCCATACACATTCTGGCGCTGTCGGGGAACCCTCTCTGGCATGGAAAGAGTTAAGAAGGCGTGGCACTTGACCCGAGGGTTTGGAGGAAAGGAAGTAAACGTTGGAAAGAAAGAAGACAGACGACGCACTACGGAGAGAAACTACGGGAAATATATACGAATTTAGACGTTGATAATTTTTGTGCAGTTAGAAGGGTCCCACTTGTTTATGGCGTGCACTGGGTCTGTTTATCCTTATTTGCTTGTTTGTTTATTTGTTTATTATTAGTTTGTTTGCTTGTTTATTTATTGTTTGTTTGTTCATTCGTTTGTTTCTTTGTTTGTTTGTTTGGAGGAAAAAAAGCACATCGACACAATAATGGGCAACAGACAGACAGAAGCAACAGAGAGAAAGAAAAGAAGTAGGACCTACCAGAGGGAAAGAAAGATAGACGGGAATAGGGAGAGACAGATAGACAGAGATGGAGAGAGCGACCACGTCTAAGGAGAGATAAGAACGAGGGCGTGAGTGGGTGGGTGATTCACTCTAGATCTAGATGAGCGGGAGAAGAAAAGACGAGGAGAACAAAGGATGTGATTGTCGTCCCTTTACTTATCTTCTGACGGTCTGTCGCGGGCTGGCATTTACTGACACGGCTGGAACCTAGTACTGAGCAATGAGTCGCTTTAGCAAAATCCGGTTAATATGTGAGGCAGCGTGGTGGAATCAGGCTCTTGTCAAAATAATCAAAGTGAAAAAACTTGCATTTTTCTGCAGGTTTGTGTATTTTTATCA